AAACATTGTCGTGGAAGGCCTCTCTGCAATCCTCACAGCTCATCCTCACATTTTGGCCACATATAAAAATAAATGATATATTCGTTTCAACCACTGAAAGGCCCCGGTGTCCACACACCGTTTGACTTCCATAGGGGCCCGCAGTGCGTTGCTCTAGCTCTCATTTCTTTCCTCCTTCCATCTCCCATCGGCGGACACACAATGCCGTGAGCGTCCGCAGTCGCCCAAGAAAAGCGGTTAGTTGTTTTTCTTAGTGTCTTTTCGAACGAATTCAGTGGCCTGCGCGTCAGCCGGCACCGTGGCACACGTCCGCACCCACCAAAAAACAGGACGTAAAAGAGAGAGCCCCGGTCCCCCCGCAGCGACAGCAGTGTAGGGGCGCAGTGAAGCATCTCATACTGCCAGACAAACATGCAGGCGCAACGCAGTCGTCAAGAACAAACCAAGAAAACAACTAACCACCAAACCAACGAAACAAAGCACATCCGTAAAGCAATAAACCAACAAAACACTGAACAAATGAACACAGAAAAAACGGTGATTCGCCTCCAATCATTGCCAGAAGCGAACAATATAAAAAACAAAAAAAGAATAGAATGAATCAATGAAGATACCGCAATCATGGCGCCTAAAGAGGAGCGCAATTATTGGGTATAAGAAAAACAAAACGAGGTATAAAATAAAACAAAATACGTGTTCACCTAAAACTTTATTTAGTTTAAAAAGCTGGTGGAGAAACGGAGATGTCCTCAGTAGAAGCACAAACTCCCGTCCACCGGGGTCCACTCAGCACAGGACCGCAAAGCCCCATAGCCCCAATGGCAGCAGGAGCAGCCAAGACACATCTGCAAGCGTCGCGCTGTCACCTGCACGTTCCTCAGAGCCACTGGAGCTGTTACCTGCACATTGCTCAAACGCACTGGAGCTGTTATCTGGACGTTCCTCAAATGCACTGGAGCTGTTACCTGGACGTTCCTCGAATGCACTGGAGCTGTTACCTGGACGTTGCTCAAATGCACTGGAGCTGTTACCTGGACGTTGCTCAGATGCACTGGAGCTGTTACCTGGACGTTGCTCAGATGCATCGGAGCTGTCACCTGCACTTTTCCAAGATACATCAGACTGGCCAACTGCTTTGAGTTTCATGGCATTCAGTGGGCGGTTGTACAAAAAGACGTTCTTTACTGTCACACTGCTGTTCTTGCCGCCTCCAAAGTAAAAGTGAGAGATATCGTGCCTCCGTGCCTCAAGGGTTGGTAGTTTGTTAGTATTCCCCACACGCACGCCGTTGACGTACACGGAGCCCTTGTTGTCCTGCAGCATGAGCGCCACTTTGTACTCCTTCCCCGGCTCCCAAGTGCTGTTGTGTCTTATTCTCGTGATACCGTTGAAGACCGTCCTCCACCGTTTCTCTGTGGTGTACGAGAGCCCCAGAAACGTCGTGCTTTGCTTTCTGCCCAGGTCGGCGCCCAGCAGAGGAATGCTCTCGTTCGGAACCTTATGAATCTTCACTGTCGCCACAAGCGTGAACGCGTAATTCACAAAGCTGTGCACACTGCGATACTTCCACATGTTCACCGGCCACATGGCGTATGATTTTGACCCTGTGAACTTAAAGCCATTTTCGACCTTCGTTGCATTCCTCACAGTTGCATTCAAGCAACGGTACGCGTCGTTCCAACTTCCATCACCCGATGCATCCGACAAGAACCCAACCAGACCGGCCGTGGGCACAGACGAGTTGGAGAGGAAGGAGTCCATTTTTGCCCAAGTCTCCAAGACGGACGTGATCGTCTTCAGCTGCTCCGTTAGGGGAGCAAGAGACACGCCCTTGGTCGTTGTACTGACCCTCTCTTGTAAAAGGTGCAACGCATCTTTCGAATAGAGCAGGGTGTTGTTAGACGTCCACTTCTCTGCAGTGTCCATGGAAATGGGCCCGACGTGAAACGTGCGGTTGCTGTCAGTGACCCAAAGGTAGAGCGCGGTGGCTTCCACCATCTCCCCAGGGAGAATCCCTTTCTGAGTGCACAGCATGACCTTCTTTCCAGCAATGGTCGCAGTGGTGAGGGACCCCACTCTCTCAACTGTTCGCGAAGAGTCTGGTAACAACATGGGCTGCACGCGTGTGAGTGTCCTGACAGTCTCTGTCCACGTTGCCCCCATGTCCCTCGACTCGAACACATTGGAGAGCGAATTGCATTTGGCAATCATGACAAGCTGCCCCCGCTCCCACTCGACGATGAGGGGGTCAGTGCACCCTCCAGGGAGCATCCCCTGTGGAAGTGTCCAACTGTTGCCGTCGTCCTTCGAATAAATGATCATGGAGACAATGTCGTTTTCTCCAGTCCTCTTCACCGTTAAAGGAGACACAAGCGTGCCATCCTCCATCACAACGCCTGATCCACCACCACCAACAAACTGGTCCAGGCCATTGTGATCAGCAGATGGTTTGATCCGTGATAAAAGCAAGATGGGTTCGCCCCATTGGATGACTTTATCTTGCGTGGCCTCACCCACGAGCAAATCAAGACCCTGTGAGACTTTAATCCAGTTCTTCGATGAAGGATCATATCTCTGATGATGACCCCCCACAAATAGAAAAACCTTGTTGCCCTTTGCAATTGTTGTGGGTCGGACCGCATATCTCAGATAGTCGTTATGCTCCTCTTGCGTGGTCGTGTGAAAGATGTTGTACGCCTTCGATTTGTTTGCACGAACCTCAGCGACAAAAGACGACCAGTTCTCCGCAGAGTCAACGTACCCCGCCACAACATCAGCGTAAGTGACCCAAGTTTGTTTCTGAGGGGAGTGTAACAATTTGTGACCCTCGGCAAGCGTAACTAACACTCCGCCAGCACTGGCGAGGGAAGGGAAAAGAAAAGATTCCCTCGTTTGTCTTTCACCTTGTGCTTCCACAATTGTTTGATTAGGCACAAAAAGATCAATAGCCTGTGGCATTTGCATTTCCTTTGGTTTAGTTCCCTCCTCACCGTACACAGCCATACTGCCAAAGCACACCAACAGCACGCAGAGAAGGAGCAGCACCGAATACAAAAACATGTTCCGGGACATGTTGAGCATGTGTCGCTTCTCACTCAATCACTCACTCACTGTCCCCCTTTCTTCCTTGTGGTGGATCCGCTCAGGCCTCGACGTTTGTTTGTGTGTGTGGTGCTGGTGGTGACTGCAGAGCCCTCAAAGCGCACAGCAGCAAGCGGTGTTTAATCTCTCTCTCTCTCTGCAGGTGTGTTAAAAAGAAGGGGTAACAAGAGAAGTCCGGCGAAGCAAACAGGGTGGATAAAAGCAAAAGGAATAAAACGATGAACACCGCCAGCTTCCACAGTTGGGCACATCGCAAAGCACAGCGAGAGTCCATAACAAAGGCCGCACAAATAAACGCGTGGGCCGCACGATCACACACTCGCCCCCGCCCACAAGAAACACCCACACGGAGCATCCGCAGTTTGTGACGCACCCACAGAAATCAAAAAACAAAACTAATTCATAAGCACGTCGCTTACCGTCTCCCACGCTCAGCCCCTTCAAACCACGCCAGCAGCAACACGCAGTGCGCATGCCGGGCAGGACCTCCCATCACAGCCCCCACAAGCTGTCCAACGCCACCTCCACTTCCCTCAGCGCACTGCAGCAGGAGTGGGGCGTAATATTTTTCTTTAAAAAAAGCGTCAAAAAAAAACCTGCGGAATAAGAGCGGCAACCCCCTTTCCTGCTGCCTCGCTCCGCTCGCAAGGGAGGGCGACGCCAGCGCAGCCGTAGCCTCAGACTGCCCGATCAGTGCATGCAGCCCAATCAAGACGGAACAGGCGCATGCATGCCCAGGACGGCAAACCAACAAAAAGAGAGGCGCCAACGGCGTTTGCTCGAGGCTCTCAGCGGTGCATGCGGCACACCCAATTGGAGCACAGACGAACCAAAAACGATGGCACCTAAAAAAAACAAAGAGAAAAACACCACGCCAACGCACAAAAACAATTACAGCAACAAAAAGCCCTTAGAGGTGCCACTGTCAAGTGTCTGCAACCTCATCCCCTTAAAATGCATCGCTCACAAGTAATTTAAAAGAGAAGAGGCCTGTAAGCAATACATAGAAGTAAATGGCAAAAGTATTAAACCTCTTCGTTCTACGTTTCCTATTTCTGACACGAGAAACCTAAAAATACACTGGAATGGTTCACCCTGTCTCTGTCTCCGTAGACATTCCATCGGCAGAGTGGCTGGAGACACTGACATTGGAAGCAACCGGGCAAAGTTATCTGCGCTTCGCCACGTGAGTGTGTATGATTTCCCTCACTGCTTCGCCACAGCTATCTCCAATACGGAACTTGGCAAATAGCAATCAAACACCCAGCTTAAAACAAAGCAAACCTCTGAGGCGTTGACAAAGTGAGTATCCTGCAGCTTCTTGACGATAATGCCCAAACGCGAGGGTGCCACCGTTTAGTCCAGCTTCAACGAAGAAAGAAAATCACAAAAGAAAATGTGTTTGCATCACGCCATGAGGGCAATACCTTGAGGAATCCAAACAAAGAAAGCGACCTAAAAAAAAAAAAAAATGTCAACAAAAAAATAACGGACGAGAAACAATGCAGATCAATCAGATTACATTTCACCCTCAAATAGGGAACCGTTTGTGATGGCTTGCTTTGTGCTGAAAACGAGTATTCAACGGTGGAGAGATTTTTAAAAAGTGCGTTGGACTAAAAGATAATTCCTTCACGTGCACTACACCCACCCACACACAAAAGGAATAAAAAAGAATCTATCGTCAAAAAGATGTTATTCATACAAATCAAGAGAAGCGCAACTACACATCAAGTTCCGATCCCCATAGGTCCCATTTATGCGGCCAACGGAAGGCCAAAACTTTTCCATGTAGGAGTAGCTTGAAGGGAATGCTGCAGCCCTTCGGGTATATGTCCTGTCCCAGTCATCTGAAGTAACACACTTTGCCGTGTGCGGGGCATTCTTGAGAATGTTGTTCGCTGTGCTCTGTTCACCCCTCTCGATGGCCGCAATTTCCGCACGAATAGAAATTAGTGCATCCGCCAAACGATCTATCTCTCGCTTGGACTCTGACTCTGTAGGTTCAATCATGAGTGTTCCCGCAACTGGAAACGCCAGAGTAGGTGCGTGAAGGCCGTAATCCATAAGACGTTTGGCCACATCTTCGGCTTCTATTTGCGCCGTTTTTTTGAACGGCCGTAAATCAATAATAAACTCGTGCGCGCAAAGCTCTTTTTCCCCTAGAAAAAGGATTGGGTAGTGACCCTCAAGACGCCTCTTCAAATAGTTGGCATTGAGAATAGCGTACTCCGTGCACTTCTTCAGTCCATGTGAACCGAGCATCATCATCAGCATGTACGACACTGTAAGAATGGATGCCGATCCGTATGCTGCTTGAGAGACTTGGCCAAAAGGTTGTGAGCCGCCAATATTTTGAACAAAAACGGAATCAGGCAAAAAAGGAGCAAGGTGTTGACGAACGGCGATGGGTCCCATGCCTGGACCACCGCCACCGTGAGGAATGGAAAACGTCTTGTGAAGGTTAACATGGCAGGCATCTCCCCCAATGTATCCAGGCGCCGTATAGCCCACCATGGCATTCATGTTTGCACCATCAACGTAGCATTGCCCTCCATAATAGTGCACCATGGACGTTATGGTCAAGATGTCCCTGTCAAACAAACCGTATGTACTTGGATATGTTACCATAATGCACGAGAGAGTATTTTTATACTTTTTGCAAGAATTTTCCAAATCACTCATGTCAATGCTGCCATTGGCCAAGCATCTCACCTTAACAATCATCATTCCTGCCAAAAGAGCCGAAGCAAAGTTTGTGCCGTGAGCGCTTTCTGGAATCAGGCAAACGTTGCGATGACCTTCTTTTTTTGTGTGGTGGTACGCGCGAATCACACGAAGACCAGCGTACTCACCTTGAGCACCACTATTTGGCTGAAGTGAGACGGCGTCCAAACCGGTGATATCCCGTATTTTTTGCTCCATATCCAGGCATAACGCACTATACCCCCGAGTTTGCTCCGTGGGTGCAAGGGGGTGAAGGTTGGTAAACTCTGACCACGACAAGGGCAGCATAGCGGCAGCTGGGTTAAGTTTCATGGTGCAAGAACCCAAGGGCACACAACCGTGCGTGAGACCATAATCTTTACGTTCAAGCCGGTGAATATACCGCATAAGTTCACTCTCACTTTTGTTCCTTTGGAAGGTTCCCTGGCAAAGAAAGGTGGAGGTTCTCAACATTGGCAACGGCAACGCCCTCTTTTGTTCTGCGAGTTTTGATAGGACGCTTATCACAGGAAGTGTTAGACCCGCCGCCTCCAACAGTGACACGACATGGCCCTCCGTAGTAGCCTCATCCACGGAGAAGGAGACGGTACCTTTACTATAGTTGGCAAAAATATTAATGCCCTTTTCCACACAACGTGTCATGTAGTCCTCTGGCGTGATGCCCTTTAAACTTACGGTGAGGGTGTCAAAAAATGTGTCATTTACCACTGAATGCCCCGCAGACTCTAAACCAACAGAGAGTATTTTAGCCTTGTCGTGCATCTCCCTAGCGATTTCCCTGAGGCCTTCGGCGCCGTGGTAAATAGCGTAAAAAGCCGCAACGTTTGCTAAAAGCGCCTGTGCGGTGCAAATATTGGATGTGGCGCGTTCATGCTTAATATGTTGCTCCCGCGTCTGAAGTGCCATACGCACCGATGGATCACCGGCCGAGTCCTTGCTTACGCCAATGATGCGCCCCGGCATCCATCGCTTAAGCCCCTCCCTAACTGCAAAAAATGCAGCATGAGGCCCTCCAAATCCTAATGGCACACCAAAACGCTGGGCCGATCCCACAACAATGTCGGCCCCCATTTCTCCAGGAGGTTTAACAATAACAGAAGCCATCAGGTCTGTCGCACAACAACCAATCACATTGTGTTGTTTTGCCTTCTCAAACAAGGGCGTAAACTCGTAAAGCATTCCCGTAGCACCTGGGGTTTGTAGCCAAAATCCCACAGAGTGAAGAATCACTCCAATCAATCAAATTTGGATCACCAACCACAACGTTTATATTTAATGGTTCAGCTCTTGTTTTTACCATCTCAATACATGAAGGAAAAACGTCCTTTGAAACAAAGAATGTCATCCGCTTCTTTCGGCCGTATTGATACGCAAGATGCATTGCCTCGGCGCATGCAGTGGCCTGATCCAGAAGTGATGCATTGGCCACTTCCATCTTTGTCACGTCCATAACAACAGATTGGAAATTCAATAGGGATTCGAGACGACCTTGAGCTATTTCAGCCTGGTAGGGAGTGTATGGTGTGTACCAGGCAGGATTTTCAATAACGTGGCGGAGTATGACAGGTGGAGTGATAGCTTCATAGTAGCCCTGTCCAATCATACTCTTTAACACCTTGTTCCGTGAACCTAGTGACCGGACATGTAAAAGAGCATCCTCCTCGCTCATAGCCGGAAATTCTCGCAAAGGATCTCGCAAAATACTCTCGGGAATAGCGGCAGCCATAAGATCCGAAAGAGTTTCCTTGCCAACTACTCGAAGCATAGACAATGTTTCTTCCGTTGAGGGTCCAATGTGACGATTAACGTAACTGTTTGTGGCAGTCCTTCGAACAAGCGCCGATAGCAACATGGTCGAACGATGAAAAGTACGATACATCTCGGCAGAGATGTGTTTCCCACACAAAATGAGAAGAATCGGTATTTTGATTTTTTTTCTTCTTTTTCTTATCCTTTTACCTTGGAAAAAAAACTGGATTGGCACAGATCAACGTCAAGAAGAAGAAAGGAGGAAAACTGAACGGAAACGGCCGTTGCACACAACAGCTAACCCATTGAAAACAGGGATAAGACGCCCAAGAAAAAGAGCACACATTATGTGAATCATTTCCATCCCCTCCCTCCCACCCTGCACACCACAAAAATACCACCAGTGTTTTCTGCTTCTTACATTATTCTAAGTCGGGTATTCACAAAAGTAGGCGTGACGAAGGGCACCAGCAGCAGTCAGGCGCTTTTGAGGATCCAAGCAAAGTAACTGCTGCAACAAATCCAACGCAGCTTCAGACACGTCCGGGAAAAAGACACGCAGAGGCTGAGGAGGTTTCGTCTCAAAATGTACTTTTCCCCAATCTGGAAGAAGCACCGCTGATGGCCAAGATTTGGGTGTCGGTGTCCCTAATACATCAAATATTCGTGAAAGTTGCCAAATTTCCCCATCACCTGCAAAAAAAGCCCCACTGTAGCCACGTAAAAGTTCTGCAAGCACACACCCGGAGGACCACATATCAATTTCCGGTCCATAATGTCTCTGGCCTAGAAGTAACTCTGGCGCCCGGTACCACCTCGAAACCACCTCGTGCGTCATGGATGCTTCCCTATCCCACAGACGACTTAAACCAAAATCACCGAGGCGTAGTTCCCCCTCTCCAGTCAAGAAACAATTTGACGGCTTCACGTCACGATGGAGAATACCTTCGCTGTGCATGTATGCTAACGCCATAAGAAGCATCTTGAATAGGGATTTTGCCTTAGATGTGGAAAGCGGATCACTGGCACTTCTCCCTGAGAGCACGGTTGCCAAATCGCTCTTGCAACGCTCCATCACTAGTGCCAAGGAACAGCCAGATGGAAATATTTCATATGTACGAATAATAAAGGGATGAACCAATCGGATAGCAACAAGTAGTTCTCGCGCCGTAGGATGCGGAATACCCTCATCAAGACGGGATATGGTGATAAATTTGATTGCAGCCGGCATTCCAGAGCCCTTTACAACCGCAGCGCGAACAACACCAAAGCGTCCCTCTCCAATTGGGGGCCCAATAATATACTGATCCATTTCCAAGTGACTAACGCCCGCTCCTTCTATTCCTGTTCTCTTCTCTTCCCCAGTACCACCACCCTCTACATCACCTTGGATTTGTAAAGTAAAACACAAGAGACCCACCCCCGGCAGGAACATGTTGCCTTAATACAGAAGGTGCAAAGGTTCATTCAATATTCATCACAATAAGACACACAGGCGTATGCATGCATACATACGCATCTAGAGATCACCAACTCAGCTCTAAAAACTGAGTTTGCTTTTGTGTCCTTATTACTTTTATTTGTTTGTTTGCTTCCGCCCCCTTCGCGTTCTGACTAATTAGAAAATCTTCGAATATTCAGAGCTTCTGATTCTGTCTTCGTACGAGAAGCAGCCGCACTCGCATACATCTTTGCTCGAGCAAACAAACTTACTCTTTCAGTGCTGGGTTTCTCTGGGCACATTTGCGCCTCGTCAAGAGCGCACTGCACCTGTTCTTTGATATTTTGAGATGTAACTGTAACCGCTTTAATATCACTTTCAGCCGACACTTCCGTCACGCGGTTCATCACGGCAAAAGGAGACGTGTCCACAGTCGCGGTATCAGTGGCAAGAAGGTCATCTATCCCAACCAGCAGAGCCTCGGTGTCCGTGTATAATGCACCACCCCGAGACTCATCCACAGAATGCGGCTCAGTGGGTGCCTGTATCACCAATGACCGACTAAGAGAGTTTTTTTTCTGCAAAAGCTCGTCGCGTAGCTTATTGAATGTCGATTTATCGCCCTTTTTGGTTGTTACTCGTGAAACAACAGAGTGAGTTGCACGTTGACGCGTCGCATCAAAAATTTTCCCGACCGCCTCTACACACTGATTCGTTCGATACGTCTTTATCTCCGCGAAAGACTCGCGCAAATCAGCCAGCCCTGCATCCTCTTTGCGCGTCCAAAATCGATCATACCTTTGCCTCTTACCACTATATGAGTAGTGCTGGGTATGCTCGTTGTCATGATCGCTAACGCTATGCTCACTCTCCTCTGAGTCATCCTGAGAAGAAATCTGCTCAGGTGGTGTTGCCTTCCGAGAGAAAGTAGTTGTATTTCCAGCAGCACCTGCAACCTCTGCACTATTGAGGGAGCTACCGCCACCAACTTCTCTTCTCGCCTTTTTAAACTCCTTTAGAAACGCAACTACGTTCATTTGTCTTCAAAAGTGGAAGAAACATGGAAGAAATAAATATAACATAATATAATGCATGAAAAGAAGCCTGCATATTGAGGAGGCCTTATCCATCTCATTTCGACAAAGAAAGAAGAAATAATGAGAGACTACAGTCTAGCTGATTGCGCGCCCACCTTCCTTCACCTAAAAAAAAGTCCCCTCACTCATTCACTCACATGGAAAAACAGTGTACTTATGGGGCATCTGCGATGATAAACAGGCTCTCGTTGAGAAATGACAAAGGGGCTGTCGTTGGGGACACGCAACCACCGCGCCCTTCCAGGTGGAGAGAGGATAACAGTAGAAAGGAGTTAGGGGCTTAAAAGAGAAACGGGTGTAAAAAAGAACACACGCGCAGAAACAATACAGAAAAAAAAAAAAATTAATTACAGTGCTGTCCGATGCGGTGCCGTTAGGAAGAACAAAAATCAAGTTACGGGTAATGGAACAAAGTAAATAAAAACGGCACCAACTCAGTTATTCGGCCTCATCTGGCAGGATATTCTTTCCATACGCCTTCACGTAAAAGAAATGCAATGTGCAGGCGCGTCAAACTTTGTAGAGTTTGTGAAGTGAGGGCCAGCCCACGACATACGCGCACTAACATTGCAGCCACGTGAGGTGAGGCTTCACGGAGCTATCCTCTTTTCCCTCTTTCTCTTTGGTTTCTATGGGAACGCACCAACGCAACCAATGACGCAACTTTACAGAGTCCAACATAAGAAATTCCTCCCGACCAATCAGAAGAACAAATCACTAAAAAAGCAGTCAGATATAGAGCAACGAGAAGTTGCTTCCGTCGTTTTACCGAGCATCCTTGGACCCCTTTCTTTTGTCCAGTCATGCAAACCAAAAACACAAGAAACAAGTTTTTGTTTTTCTTTGCAAAAAAAAAAAAAAAGCTAGCAAACAAACAAAGCAAAAAAAAAAAAACACCAGCCATAAAATACACACGCGTCAAAAAAGAAAAAATCTATGAAAACAACAACAACAAAAACATACCTAACAGATCATATCTTCTTTATGTTCATCGCAGAGTTCGCTACGGAAAAACTCCTGAATAAGGTTCTCATCGTGCCACTGCCGAAGATCTGAAATAGAAAGAGTCGAAAGGACCAAATGTTTACAGTAAACCGCCACATCCGTCGCGTTAGCGTCGCTGTCTATTAGAACGGATTCACTTGAAAACCTCAATTTATGCAACAAAATATCTCGCTCTGGGGTGCTAAGAGACTTGAAAGGGCCATTGTCCAACCTAAAATATGTCTCCAGCAACCGACTAGCAAGCATCAACATGGTTTCCCCTTCACTTACTGTAACTAAAATTACTTGATATCTTGTAGATGATACATATAAAAGGACATGCAAAACGTCAGCGTCCTCGGAGTATCTAAGATTCTCTTGTAGTGCAGCGAGAAACGCTAAACCACTGGTGCGTTGGCCATCATCCACAGAAGAATATACACCTGCAACAGCAGTCGAAACATCCTCGTTGTCCGACCCCACGTCATCAATGGCCTCTTCCAGAGCAACCCTGTCTGTGACGCGTGGAATTTCTCTGTACCGTGACGTCGCAAAAGTAACCGACGTTGCCTCGGAAGATTGGGCAGTCAAAGGATCAGATTCACAGGCACAAGCATTTACATCCGCTGACTGAAGCTTCTGAGTTGGAGTATCGTCGCATCGATGGTTTGCGTGCGGTGGAGCCTTTGAAAGCAATGCCAAACATGTGCGGCAAACCCGCCGCCCCTTCGTCTTGTGCAGATTATGTAATATAACAAAGGCACTCGAGCACGAAGCACAAAAAATGCCGCCACAGTACCGACAGTGGTGACGCCTGCAACTGAAATTAAATTTAGCCCCACATATTTCGCATTCACGTACTGCACTATCAGACTTCCATTCGCCTAACACGGAAAGTCTAGATGTCATACGTTGTGATTAACTTACAGTGAATTCAACGTCCGACACTATCAAAAAAAAAAAAACTGCGTATTTTTACGCCAAAAAGTAAATGAAAAGAAATAAATCAGATGGAAAAAAAGTCAATTGAAATAATGCCAAATCATGTAGTTCACACCAACTCATATATATATATATATATATATATTGCAAGAGAAAGAAGAAAAAAAATATAGAAAGAAACTTTTGTGTTGCTGTTGTGTTTCACATAAATCGTCGCTACCTGTATTTGCAGCACTGTCTCTCAGGATCGCAGTGGCTCTTCAGTATCATTCTTTTTAAACATGGAGGACAATGGCAACCACGAAACATCAGCATGAAATGGTGAAGCGTCCTCGCTGTCACTTCCACTAATTGAGTCCTCAGGCAGAGGCCCCACTAATTTTGAGGGGACGCCAAGATGGCAGAGTTCATTGGAGAGCTCAACGCTGCTGGCGGCATCTTCAGCCTTACGTGTTGCATCTCGCTTCTCTACGTTAGCCAAAGCGCGTGGTTCCCGAGCGGAATTGCCAAAGGTGTCATAGCCTAACACAAGGTTTGGCCTATGAACCACGTCATGTGCTCGGCCATGTACATCAAATGTTTCAAGTGTTACAAGTGGTTGAACAAAATCCAAAAGGGTTACAGCAGTAGCCTCGTTATGGTCACTTTTTACATACGCCGCATACTCTTTGTTTACTGCTTGGCTGAGGTCGAGAGAAAATTCCGGAAGGCACTCAGTTTTATATTGCCTGGAGAGAAACACAAATGGACTGCGCAGAGGCTTCACATCGAATGCGGTTGTCATCAAAAACAACTTTGGCAACGGGGCAACTCGATTAACATATGCCGGCATCACAGACATGTGCTCATCCACGACGCTAACCGCCTCTACAACCGTTTGTCGCTCACTGAGGACGGTCATTAATTCAGAACGAAGCGATGATTGCTTTTTACGAAGTCTCTCCAGTCGTTTTTTGGCGCGGTTGTTACATATCAACATGCGAAACATCGCCAGAAGAGGTGCAAGAATCACTGCACGCCCCTCGAGGCTCGTGGTCTCCACATGCATGACCTGGAACGCCTCCACGCACTGACTCGCAGGTTCGTACGAAACATGGTCGCCCCAAACCTCCGTACGCCTTTCTACGGCTTCAATGTGCCGTTTGAATTTCATCATATCCATCTGTTTCTCCCGGTACTCACTAATGGACGCTAGGTATTCCTCGGAGGGAGTAGGAATACCCTTTCGCAGGACAATTTTCGACCCTTGTAGCTTTTCCAATGCCGCCTGCTGGCGAATTCGGTCAAGCAGATACGCCTCCGCCGCATCCTCACCCGCTAAAATATCTCTATGATCCACCTTCTCCCCCTCATCCATTCTGCTCAAAGACTAGTAGTGGTAAAATGGGTTAATCCTCCACGTTTGCAGATACACATGCAAATGTGGTTAGACATTTATTGATGCAAAGACACAGGAAGGGAAATAATAGCAATAAAGGATAAAGTTGAAAGTAGAAAAATAAAATAAAAAATGCAGCACCCCGCGGACGTGTAAATGACAAAACGTGCAATCGGGAACAGCATAAAGAGAAGAGACAGCAAAAGATGTAAAGAGAATACAAGGAATGCAAAAACAACTCAACAAAAAAAAAACTTCTTTCAACAACGGAGAGATAAACTCCAAAGGAGACGCTGTATCAACGACAAGCAGACGAGAGTTGGGCCACATTTTCTGGATACTACCGTTAATTGTCCCCATAGTCCCTCCACTGCTATTCCGCCCCCAGTGAGGAGAAACACGCCAAAGACAAAAGGACGCTGCGTATACGCGTTACAATGGGTCACGGCTTCTTCAAGAAGCGCGACTATGCACTGCGACATCTCAATCACTAAACTCTGCAACGATGAACATGGTGCAGATGATGATGAGACTGAATTTGTTTCGGTTGACATCGCCCATCCTTCTACCGGCAGCGTAAGAAACTCTCTCAAACCACTCCCAATGGTGATGGCCTCCACTACGGGGATCGAAGAGAAAATGGGTACAATACGGGTCGTTTGGTAACCAATGTCCACCACGCAACCGTCGGTCATCCCATGCGCCTCCAGCAACCAAGAAGGAGCATCCACAACTGTTGCGACTCCACTCAACGAGGCTGAAGCAAACCAACGCGAGACATACTGGACAAACAAGGAGGAATCGTCGGGAGAAGCCAATACTTCAATTTTTTCGCAGCACCCGAGTAAACCGGCAGCTAAGCACAATCTTCCCAAGAACGAATCCAACACCGTACTTGTCAATGCCACATCAAAACTCTGCTTGAGTTTCCGAACGCCTACGGGTGTCTCAAAAACACGTTTGCCGGGAGTGTCCCCGCCAAAGTACAGCTTGGTAAAACAGCTACCAATGTCAAGCGCCACAGCTGTCATGAGGTTGACGCTAACTCCACTTTTCTGTTTTGTGCACAGAGAAAAGACACGCACGCACGCACACTCTAACAACAAAACGACAAAATAAAAAGGAGGGGGGAAGAGAAAAAGAAGAAGGCCGAGGTAACAGAGCAGGAACACCTAAAAAAATATATATTTTAAGGCTCACAAGGCGCGAAACTCCTGTTACTAATCATCATCGTTCCCCCCTACCCTCCCCGTGCTGGTTTGTCTTCTTGTTTTTAGTTTCCATTATTAATTGTGGTAGTAGTAGTAAAAAAAAAGGTGGGGTGATGGGGACTCCCGGATCAACGTCGCAGATGGTCTCTTCCCTAACCCCTTTTTACACACACACACATCTTTAAAAAGGAAGAGGTACAGACATGTGCTCTGGAATTAGTTGTTAAACTTTGCGAGACCGTAATGCCTTCTTCCCCTTACTGGGCCTTATTCCTGTCCCTGCTGCCGCCTCAACGTTCGTAGAAGGTAAAGGATTAAACATGGGGAGTGTGGTGCTGAGCGCCACCCTTGTGCTACGCGGCTTTACAGGTGGTGGAAGATATTTTTTCAGGATGTCGCGTTCCTTCCTTCTACGTCCATGAATACTATCTACGAGAGTACGTTCCATCTCCGACGGCCTTTGCCGCTTAGATTTCTTCCGCTTCACGCGCTGCTTACCATGTCTACCGGGCATCGTACCACGGCAATCTTTACTACAAAAGATTTACAAGGCAAAACGAGGCCTAAGTAAAAAAATATATATACGAAAACAGAAACGGAAATTGAGAGATTGTAAGGAAGGAAGAAGGGTCATAAAGCAGGCATGACTTCGTAGAGAAAGAGAGAGGCAAAGACACATAGCACCATCCATCATGAGAACTCCTTTTTCCTTTTCCTTTTTTCTTTTCTTTCACAGCTACAAAGACATAGTTTAACAACACATTAGCGTTTTCCTCAAATAGAAGAAACCGACGTTGATGGAGATATGCGTGTGTATGCCTATACACGGGGGTAACACAACAATAATAGCGTACCTCTGAGTGATTATGAGGACGTACACTATACCCTTTGGTGCTGAACTTCAGCACACGTAAAAACAATTCTATGTGTTCACAAGGGAAACACAACACAACACAAAAAAAAAAAAAACGGACAATCAATAAAAGTAAATGTAATTCAGTAAACATATATTGTGTGGTATTTGTGCTGTCAATCCGTGCCTCACATGCACTTATGCAGAAGAGCGGGAGTGGTCTCTTCAGAGTGTTTCCAATCGATGCGAATGGGATGAAGTGGATCAAAGAGGACGTGGCGCTCGGGGTCCAGCGCAACGGTGCGAAGAATGCGAACGTAGTTTGCGGTATTTAGGGTTTGAAAACTGCGTGATTCCCCAAGCACTCGAAAAGCCTCATTGCTCAGTCTCGGACTGCGCCTACTGCCATCTGAAGGCCCTGTGAATGAGAACAGCAACTGCCGAAACTCCAAAAAAGCCTCGTGGCGAATGATATCCCTCTCTTTATCTGCCTTTGTGTAACAATGCAGAAAATTATTCGATACCATACGCAGTTCTCCGGCAAGCATCAGTTTGCTGAAACCAAATTTTTTGTGTTCCTCCGCCGAATACGTTACCAGCACCCACAAACGGTAGTTGACTGCGAAAAAATGCGCAAAAAGAGACCAATTTTTAAAGCGTCTCATGCCCTCATTATAAAAGGGCAACTCACGCACAAGATTTTGCACATGTGAAGATGGAACTGAACCAGAGAGGTCGTCATTATCGATAACTGCCATTACGTGATCCGCAAGAAGTAACTCTGCAGGCCATGCAGCCACCTCACCCTCACATAAATTTTCTTCAAGAGAAAGGCGAAGCTGTATAGTGTGGGGTACGTCCTCAACAAGCACGGCTGAGGCTACACTTTCGCCGAACGGCATTAGCGGTCCGAGGTAGTGTACCTTGCCAGACGGTAGAAGGAAATGCCCAACTGTTCGCCCCTTTGCATAGTCGTTCAATTTACTATCTCCTAGTTGCATATTGAAAGCCAGCTCATACAGCCCATTATAGCGTCGTGCGCCATGTCGAATAGCGGAGGTGTTGATGCCCCGAGTCACAGGCAAACTTACCGGAACATTGCCCTCAACAGAGAACGTAAACCTCTCACACGGTTCACCATTGATGATGAGAATGACAGAAATTTCATCTTGATGCGTAGAGTCCAAGCGCATGAGACGGAGAAGTAAATCCAAATGACAAAAAATACAAAAAAAAAGTCAAACTTATAGTCCTAAATAATAGTGGTGACGATAATGGTAATAATAAACACAAATGGTGGGAAGAAACACCTCCAGTACAGTACAGCAACAGCACGATATATGTATGTTTACGTAGAAAAAAAAAAGCGTAGGCAAAGTCTCTGGAAAGGAGCAAACAAGAAAGAAGGAAAACTTTTAAAAAAAGATATAAGCACTCCACAGCATCCTTAACCACAACGTCCATGCATTCCACGTCAGCTCCTCCCCCTCCTCCTTTTTTTTTTAGGCCTCTGAAGGGGTGGGGGAAGTAAAGCTACAAGGGAGTTTTTCTCAAGTTTGCCCAAAACAAATTCATCCTACCAAAATCACTGCGCGTCCTCAATACCAACGAGGAAAACATAAATGCAAAGAACACGCCACCAATAAATCCCCAGTTACGCAGTTCTATAGCTTCTGCCTTCCTTTTCTCCACTAATTTCGGTCCAACATACTCATCATACGTACACTTTGCAAGGTATGGAATACCAAAGTAGTACACAGGGACTCGCTTGCTCGCAGGTAGGTAACACTTGGGCAATATCAGACTAAGAGCCGCAAACCCGGCAAATGCTCCATTTGATGTCGCGGCGCAATCAAAAGATGTATTTGCCTTGGTACTACTCAGCTGGCATCCAAACAGATAGGCAAAGCTGCTAAATAGTCCTGAACCAGCGTAGAGTACAAGACCCGATCTCCACCCAATAACATCTACGATGGGTCTTACCAGAAACCATGAAGCCAAACAATTCAACACAGCATCAAAAACTGTATGCACGTACACGCACGAGAGTGGATTGGGTAGGAAACTTGAGCACTTCGTCAGAAACACGTCTCGCATCACCATCGGTTTGGGACTGCGCAGCATGACTGGATTATCAGCGTAGCTCCCCTTGTGGTACAGAAAAAACAGCATCTGGTCGGATGACAGTGCCATGGCATACAGCATTGCGGCATTGCTCCTTACCAAATGACGCGGCATTAGAAAGGAATGTTAAGGGAGGAGGGAAGTGACACGCCGCGTCTAAGCTAAAAACCACCTCCGCACAACGACCAAGAGAATACAAGAATGGTGTACAGGACAGCGTCACGACATCAGCATCATCGCAATAAACAGCAAAGCAAAATCCGCTATTACTATTTTTTTTAAACAAAAAAACTCTACACAACCCAACACGAAGAGAAATAACAAACCCACCGGAACAGTTGCGGCATTCCCAAAAAAAAAAAAAACTATTTACACGAAAGAGACACTAACACAACACACAAATACAGAAAAAAAAAATGTCCTTCACAGTTGCTTTTGTCGTTACAGTTGTTGACCTATTTGGCCTTTTTCCTTCAACAGTTTTTTTGTCTTTTTTTTTGTTTTTTTTTCTATTCTCGTTTTCGGTATATTCCCTGCCGTTTGAACAATTGTCACCCACATCGTGTAAAAAATGAGGGACGGAGGAGTGGAAGAACTGAGAAAAGAGACCCTACAAAAATCACGTCGCACCAAACTACTTTTTTTTTACTTTACGTCTTTTGGCTTGCTCCACAGCGACCCAAGAGAATAGCCGCATGAGCTAGCAAGGCGCTGTGGTATAACTGCAGTGTCAACCAATATACATCATATTCATTGTTCAGAGCCTGGAATGTGTCACAAGGTCAGTGTGTGCAACAAGCTGGTCTTGTATTGTTTCTTGTGAGATGTTAGGGTGCATGAGCGCAAATATGGGCGTCTTCCCAAAGCGCCCCCACACGGTTTTGTGCACAGCAGCAACGCCGTTCAGTAACGGCACGTCACACACCACCACCACCTCAACCACCTTGGCGCCAACAATATCTTCGATGAGCTGCAGGACGGAGATGAGAGACTGGCCGGTCGCAATAAAGTCATCTGCAACGACTACGCGAGCATCACTCGAAAGGCTGCCGTTACGAATGGAGTAAGACGGTGGCAAGTAGTTAAAATGTTTGTCCTCATGGACAAAAGAAGACGGAAAGCGTTTTGTTGTGTGACACATTACAAAAGAGATGCCAAGCTCAACAGCTAACGGTGCCCCAATAACATAACCACGAGACTCCAAGGAGAGAATGTGTGTTGGACCAGCCTTGCCCATCGCACGGTATCGCTGTGCCAAAAAATCAATCACCTTCCTGTAGAGAAGCGGATTTTCGGTTATGGTGCTGACATCAAACAATTGGGTGATATTGCCATGTG